AGAGTGGGCCATTCCCACGCAGAGTCGATGTACTCCGCAACAACATCAGAAGACGGCTTAGTTGATTCGTTATGGGGGGGTTTGAAACCTATGTGACCTTCGGCAAAAGCAGCAATTACTCCACCAGCACTGACGAGAGAGGGTGAAACAAATGAATCCCTCCCACTTGAGCCAGTCCCCGTCTTCGGCAGCACCTGCGTCGTCTGCGGCACAAATAGATCGACTTCCTGCAGCCCCTCAACACCCCCTGAAGCACTCCCCTCTGCAGTAATGGCACTCGGCAATGCCGACCCAGGAGTTGAAGCATCAGCATTATTTTCCACCTTAGCGGTCGCAGCTCCACAGGTGGCGCAGCACATCAACACGACAAGTAGGAGCAGCACCGCGGAAGTAAACACACGCCGGGACATGTTGGGCCCCTGCAGTTCACTCTCTCTTCCTTCCCTCCTTCCGCTGGATCCGGTCACGCGGCGACGGTTGTGTTTGTGGGGTGCCTTCACTGCAGCAACACGTGAGAGCATACAAATATGTGTGTGTGGGCAGTGTGTGTTGTTTTTGGTCCTTTCAGAGCCTTCGAATTTCACAGTAGCGATTAGCGCCTGGTTGCTTTCCTTCCTAGCGTTTCTGCGTTCAAGAAGTGGTGAAGAAAACAACAGCGGCAGCACATCAGACACGTCAGTGAGAATCAGAGCAGAGCAGCCACGCAGTGAGTGGGGCACGAGACAATCCGGAAGGGACGGCACGGAGAATCATCGCACACAGAAAACAGCAACAACAACAACAACACGACGGAAGCCAACACACACAAACACAGAGAGAGACATGCAAGCGGAGTTCTACTATTCGGCAACGCCATTCAAAGTCCTGCCAAAACAGCCTGCAAGTGATACAGTGATCAGCCACACGCTCCCGGTGCACCGCCGCGGCAACGACGCGGACACAAACGGAATTATGTGCACAAACGTGGGCGGCACCAATTCACAGCACCGCCACACGACACTCGCTCTCTCGGTCCATCCCACGTCCCGCCTCAAAAGTCCGCGGCAAGCACCAATCAACAAAATAATGAGGCGGCGGAAACAACTTCCCTGCAGGCCATTCAGGGCTCCACAGCAACGCCCCGACCATCTCGCGCTCACAAAGCAAGCCGCACGCAGATGCCATTCATTTTCTCCGCGAATGGTGTTGCCTCGCTGAATCATGTGCAAATAATCCACAACACACCACCCAGAGTTTCTTTCCATTGCCACAAAAGAAAAAGACAAAAATGTTTTTAAAAGTCAACATAAGTACCACTCCGCCCTGGTCACTGCGCATTGCCCCGCACAGAATCGTTGTTACTCGCCCCTCCGCTCCCCTCTCATCCCATTCCTGCCTGCCAGGACGTACATCACAGTCGCAATCCCTCCCAAGAAAGACTTTGTCACATGCTGGCACGGGCCACATTTTCCCTTTGCATCCCGGTCTCCCGCCCACAGGAGGGCAAACAGGGGGGTTGTGTGCATGTGCGTGTGGATGGCCATGTGCAAAACTCATGGAATTCAAAGAAATACGGCACACAGGGCAACCCCGCCCACGGATGGAGAGTCCACTCGT